AATGGATATAATTTTTTACTCCATCCTTTTCTAGTATTGGACTTTGACCAAATCTGTGAACTTCACCTGATCTTCAGTGTTCATACATTTAAAATTGGGATCACATTAACAACCTTACAAAATTTTTGACAAAGTATCTAGTAGATGCACAGCAAAATGCTATTACAACTTTATTCTTGAATTCGTTCACTTCAACACAGCTTGTCTGGGTAGCGCCCCACATAAGGGGAACTTCTTAACATTGACAAGTCCTGGTCTACGTACATCATTCATTCAATTTTAGGTAGCAGGTTTGTTGCCCATTGTGTTTAGCTGTGATGGTTTAAGAAAGTTATATCCCACACATATTTTGCTTTTGTAAGACCAATTGTCTACTTATACACAAGATGAATCTATGTATATTGTTGATGAGCATGAGTTTTTAAATTCAATTATCTGAGGAAAATAATGTGTTCTTTGTGCCACCTAAATTATTCATAGTAGCTATTAATTGATAAAAAAATACAACTTCTAAGAAAATGACAGGACAGAGAACCACCCATTGTCAAACTCAGTGAGGGATGCTAACAGTTTAATAGTCACAAAGTCAATCATTTGTTTCCAAAAATTCAACAACAGATTAAGTCAGAAGGAACATTAAGACCAATTCTGCGTAAGTTAAGGAGAATTTTGCTATGAACCATACAGGAGAGCCCTTCTAAAGTCACGTATGAACATTCTCTAAATGGCCCTGAGTCCACATATACAGCACCATGTAATATTCTAACTCCTGAAAATAATTCCCAAGTACTATAGGATTAGGTATTTTAATACCGTTTCTTGACTTTCTAACTGCCTTCTTAATTTATTTCATCTACCTACGTTCATGATTTTGAAGCTTTGTTGCTATAATGTATAAGAAATTAAAGAATATGTAGATCAGCATTTCTTGTCCAGAGGTGGAAGAGAGGAGGCTGGAGAAGGGAACCTGTATGGTATGCCTGTTGTTTCATGAAACAAATCAGATAAAGTTTCGCAAGTGTACAGAAGGAAAATTAATAATATTATCTTTGTTGGTGAGACAATACACGTGATGGAGCGAGAAAGCACTAAATATGTCTTGCAATTTGAAAAATAAAGAATGAGAAACAAGATTTCATCTGGGCATATTAATTTAGAGAAAATGCAAGTGCAAGTGATAAGACTTTGACTCTGACTGACAATTAGAGAATAAGACAATTCCTGCCAAGTTTATTGCTCTGCATGTATCCAGTATTTATACAACATTTGTGCTTCCATCTGTTTCTGTTTGGGATTAGTGGAACACCTGTTATTGTTTAGCTAGAGTTCATTATTAATTATTGGTAATGAGTTTTTAAAATTATAATTCAATTTTTCCCTCTGGGATAAATTATTTCCTTTGTATAATATTGTCACACCCTCAAAAGTAGCCCAAATTACAGTTCAAATTTGAAAAATCTTATTAATGGAATGTGCTGACACCATGATATAAGTCCCAAGTTTTGCCTTTTTATCTCATCAAATGAATACTTCTAACTAAGACATCCTTAACATTTTTTAGCTAAGATTTTGTCTATATACCCGAAGATGAACTGGATTTCTAATGTTCTATAGTGAATATGCACTATTCTATGATCAGTAACAATCCTTGCCTCAATTACAGGAACCGTCTTAATAAGCTGGCATAAAGTATAAGGATCAGGCCATTTTGTTGCATCTAATTAAAATTCTCTTGTACTGACACACTCTATATTAAGTTGAAAAATTAAGAAAATTTTATTTAAACCTGCATAGTGAGTGTATGTTACTAAGGCTGGCTCTCTGGGCAATTGGTGTAGACATATATCAACAATGTTTAATTTTAGGGGTATTATTGACTCTGATGAGCTCCTCTCTCCAGAAATACTTTCTCTGCTGACCTTCAATGATCTAACAACACCACCATTAGATCTCTTGATAGTGTAGATAGTCAATGTTATGGGACATGTTTTACATAGCCTCTAACCTGTTTTAGGGAGGAGAAGAAGAGAGAGAGAGAAAAGAGAGAGAGAGAGAGAAAGATTCTGTCCTTCCATGGTGGCTGTCCTGAAGCTGACGACTCCTATGTTTTCCCCAGGGCTAAAGAAGCCTAGTCTTTTTCTTATGAGAGAACTATTAAAACTGGTCAACGCAGACATTATGTTGCAGCTAATTTTTGCTGAAACTCAATTTATAGTGTTTTGTTGTTTTTTTCTCTTTTAGATATTGATAGTACAGATGGTCAAGATAAATTCTTTTAGATTTATCTTTATCACCTTCCAGTAACTCCGATTTCCTTTTCAACATTTCGTGGCTTAGCATATTTTTCTTAAGAGACAGCCATACAGATAATTTCATTTGTTTAGGTAGACTCTTTAAAAGAAACATCACTATCTTGCTAGGCATTTTCGCATTCCCTCTTCATCAACTTCCACCTGGGCCAAATGTGCATGCATCGCTGGGCAAAGTCAACAGAGTTAAACAAAAGACAAATTTCTATAAGAAATCATGTGACTCAAAGACCTCTTTACATTCACTATAGATAAAGAAATCAATTTAAATGTCCAGTAGAAGGACCAGGGCTAGTGTGTTTTGCTTAGTAATTTTAACACTTTTATTTTTTTAGCTTTTCGTCTCTGTAGCCACATGATTCAATACAAGTTAAAGTTTATCCCTTAGAAGTTATCCCATCATTGAAATTCCAGCTAGTGTCTGACTTTTACTTGAGCCAAAAATTTATGTCAAGGTAATTTATTCCACTTTCTGTGTCATTTATTCTCTTAAAATTGAAGGTATTCACCTATCAAAATCTTCTCTGACTATAATAAAGTATTCTTTGGCAGCCTATACTCCAATTCTATGGGTTTTAGGTTCACAGCTAGAAAGAGCCTCAAGGAATAAGTTAGTACTCTCATTTTATTAAGATCCTTTTCTTGAACGGCAGTAGTGCTTAACTGCACTTTTGGTTTGATCCTGCTGAGAAGAGGTCAAATGTAATTGCATTTATAGTCACTGTTATTTAATAGTTTAATCTAATGCATTTCAGAGCTCAATTCACTGTATTAGAGAAGAACTAGGTAAGATTCAGCCTTGCTTTACTCTTCTCCACAGAATACTGCTCCATAAAAATATACTCACTTTAGTTCCAAACATCTAATTATTTTCACAGAACAAAAGCTTTGGGAGTTTTGATGTTTACTTAATAAATATCTGTTGAATGCCCTCAGCAATCTGACAGTCCAGAAAAGAGATAAGACATGGTATAAATAATTTTATAATTAAAAATGACTTGATAAGTATGCAATAGAGGCTCAGAAAATGTGATGTTAATTTCAGTGTACTGGAATAAATAGTTATCTCCACTTACCACTCAGATCTCTTAATTTTTTTATATATTTTAAATTGTTTAAAATATTGTTTACAGAAGTAAAAATAAAGGGATAGTGAAAATCGTGATAAGAAGTTAAACATAGCAAAGCTAAATTTTATTTTATCAATTGCCTGATTTTGAAGGTGTTTATACTTCAAATTGAAAACATCTTCAGAAAGGAACTAACTGCTCATCAACTATTGTGCATAAACCTTTGAAGTATCCATCTTGTAGTTATCAATTTCAGATTTCAAACATAACTTCAATAGATTCTAGCAGGATATTATTTGTGGTTTGTTTAGAATGTGCATCATCAAAGTGCAACAGTTGAATTTTTGAAATCTTTTGGTGGCTCATAATTTTGCTGAAAAGACAATGTTATCTTCATTCTATAATTGCAAAGAATTTTTATTCTTATATTTATAAACATTAATTAGGATGACAAATCCAATGATTTTTCATTTATACGCTCTCAATTTCTTTCTGATACCTGCATTCACCTTTCTTCAGCATTTTTGCACTTAAAAACCATAAATTTTCATATACAGTCTTTATAAGAGATGAAAGAGTACTGTTACATATCCTTCAACAAAACGAGATGATTCAGGTTCTTGTCACAAAATATTGCATGATAAAGTCCTTCTAGTTGAAAGACTGACTGGATGAGAATACCGTATTTCCTTTTTGTCCTTTGAAATGTATTGTTCATTCATTGATTCTTCAGTTTGAGAAAATTCATTGTCATCTAAAGATTCATAGTGTGAGATTTCACTTGAACCATCACTTTCAATTTCACCCTAAGCATTAAAGTTTAGCATACTGCTATCTGTCTTTTTGCATTCATTTTCTGATTCATCTAATAACTGCAATATCTTCCTCTGTCAATTTTCTTCTCTTTGCAGTTTGGGATGGAAAATAAAAACTCTAAATTCTCAATTATGTTCAGTGAAACTAAAAGTAGACCATAAAAATGTCTCCAATTTCTTTTATACCTTCTTGAATGATGATGTAATACTTTAGTCAACACAATATGAAGATTGAATGATGATGGGATAATGATGATGATTTATTTTACGATTGCATCATCCTTCTAGGCAATTCCATCATTATTCTACTTTCTTATTATTTCAGACTTTTTAGTTTGTTGAGAATAATTGATGAGTAACAAAAGATAATTCCTAAGTTAATGAGATAGAAAATTTTCATTATATAGGAAAAATAAGATCATGAAAATACCATAATGTGTCCTGGATTTTTAAAACTGTTGAATGATGACACATGGTAATTTCAAAATAGAATGAGTTTTATTGTGTTTAAAAAAATATAAGTAAATCTGTTTTTTCTTCCTTGGAAGACCTATAAGAAAAAATAAGACAAGACACATCAGTCTCTATACATAAATACAATTGCTTAAAAAGAAACTCAAAAGCAAAGATTGGCTCCAGGGGACCCTGAAAGTACACTGAGAACCAATGGAGAGAACACAAATGTGGGGGTCACACAAGCCAGGATTTAAATATTTTGTTTCATTTTTGTATTTTTTTTGAGTCTAAGTTTCTATAAAATTTATTTCTTAAGGTTGTTAAAATGATAAAATAAAATAATATATACACACGTCCTCCACCTGCATTTTTTTGCTTTTTCTTTTATTATGGAAGTTTACTGCAAAAAGATAGTGCTTCTAGTGTGAAAGTTCAGAGAAGATCTTACGGAAGAAGTCAAAATTGAAAGGAGTCTTGAGCATTGGTAGGATAGGTTCTATGAAATTAAGGATAAAGACCTACGAGGCTGAAGGGATAATAATTAAGGCACAGAATCACAATATCTTGAAATGGTTTTTTTTGACTACCACTTGTTGAGTATTTACTCTGTGCTAGGCTTTTAAAATAGTCTTATTTAATCCTTATAAAACTTCAAGAGGAATGCATTACCATGCCCGTTTTATACAAGAGAGAATTGAGGTACAGGGAGTTTAAGTGTCTTATCCAGGTCATACACAGTGCAGACAGGGGATTCAAACCCAGGCCTGCCTAACTATAAAGCTTTCAGGATTAAGACCAAATCTCCATGCTTCCCAGACATAGACGGGGAAATGCAAGTGATTCACTTTGGTTGGCACACAGGGAACCTATAAAGAGAAAAAAAAAAAAAAATGGAAACATTATGCAAGATCATTTGTGAAGAATGGAATTGGAAAGACCAGTTAGGATAAGTCCAAGGAGAGGAACTAAATCTTGATCTTGGGAGATGGGATGGATAGAATAAAGATGATTTTAGAGCTCTCACAGAGGTAGAATCACGGGATTTATGATTACAGATATCAAATGAGAGGAAAGGAAAGATTATTCAAAGATTGTTGACCAATCCCAAAAAACCAAAGTGATACTCTAAATAGGGGGTAAAGGAAGAGAGTGGGTCCAAACTCAGTGGAGTAGGCCAGGCTGGAGAAGTAGGAGGCTGAACACATCACCCAGTCTTAAAGCCGCAGATGGTATTCAGTTGCAAGAGGGGAATATGTGAAGATTCCCATCCAAACATCATTTGTTAATCACCTGATAAATACCAAGCTTCATACTGGGGACTTTCACACACTTTGCTCATTTAATTCTCACAGCAAACTCTGAAGTAGGCAGTTAGATAACCACGTGTGAAGTTTCAGGGAGAGGTCAGCCGTGCAGATGGGGTTGCCGGGGAGTGAGCAAAATAAGTCAGCGTACAAGTACTGAGTACCTTCTGTGTGCTCAGCAGTCCCAGGCTGAGCACAGTAGAGGATATAAGAATACTAAAAGATGATCTCTAACTTTAACAAGCGGCATAGATGGTTATTTGAAAGAGAAAAAGGAACTAACAATTAATAAAAAAAGTTTAAACTTGAGAGTCAGATTGCATAATACAGACACTAAATGTTACAAGTTTCAGAGAGACGTCTGTGATTCCTGGTGTCAGGGAAGACAATGTGCATCTAGAACTTGAAAGATGAACAATATTTTACCACGTGCTGAGGAGTACAAAGGGCTTGCTTTGTACATGAATGAAAGAGAAAATGAATGGGGATGTGGCCATGCATGCGACACTGATGTGTTTGTACAACAATGAGGATATCAGACTGGCAAAAGGATAAATTAAGATTAGAAAACACTGAGGATTAACAAGTGATAAGTTTGTAGTGACAAATTACTGACACTTGGTCAGTAAGGCAGAATTAATATTTGGTGTAAAAGAGAGTCTTTAAAAGATTTTTAGTAGAAGAATAACATTAAACTAGCATTTCAGAGAGTGTGATTAGGCAGGATCCTGCTTAAGGGATTGGAAATGCAAGGAAATTTGTGGACTAATGCTAAAGCTGTTGAGTCTAAAATATGATTTTGAAGGAAAGAAGAGCAGATTTTACTAAGCCATTTTCCACGGAGGTGGTGATGAGAATTGTGTGTAAGTGACTTAAGAAATTACTGTTGCAACTCAGAATGCTACAAACTATCCTGACAATTTAAGTTCACACAAGTGGTAGAAACTTAAATGAGGTCTGGATGTAAATGGAAACAGTGAAATATCTGTGACTATTTGCTAAAAGCATAGTGTAGTAAGGAAAGTGCTAGAACCAGATCTGTTCATAACCTAAAATGGAGCAATAGCTTCTTTTCCTTCTTTGGTTAATTTCTCTTGTTGTTTTGCATTGTTTTATTTTTGTTTTTCAGAGGTAGCCATCCAAGCATGGACATTACAGGCAATGAGAACAGGTGGTTAGGCTCACAGATTCCAGAGCCAGCCTGCATGGCTTCAAATGTAGGCTCTGCCATTTGCCTGGAATATGACTTGGGTAGGGTTCATCAATCTCTTCAGGCCTCCATTTCCTGGTCTGTTGAATGAGGCTGATAATGGGATTGCTGCAGAATACATGAGCAGATGGTCAAAGCGCACTTAGGGTCCGTAGCTCTCCGAGTGTTGGCCCTTCTTTACTAATTGAACATTCATATAAGGCTTGTTACAATCAGAATTTTGATGGGGAGAGGAAGGAAGTTTTTCAGAACCACTTGAACAAATAACATACAGACCAATTTTGCCCCTTCTAGCCATCTGATGTTATCTAGCCTTGATTCTACTATCTATGTAATGTGGGTAATAATACATCATTTATAGTGTCATATGAAGAAATCCTGCATTACATGCATTGATGAGTTTGGTTTAAGCGTCTTCTAGATGAGTTCTAGGAACTATGCTAGATTCTGTAGATACAGCAGTGAACACACATGCACGATACATATTTCTCCTTTAAAATGAGATAACAAGCTTTACTTTATAGAATTAATGTATGGATTAATTCATGCACACACACACATACATTTAGAGCACTACCTGACTACAAAAAGTATTATTTAAGTGTATAATGGTAGCAGTGGTGCCCAGATATTGTAAAATACAGCTTTCTACTAAGCACTTCTTATATCTTCCTGACTTAATTATCATATATCATTATCGTTCTCTCTCTAGCAAGTCTTTCTTTACTGCCTTATATACACCTTCAAGAAACATTTGCCTTCAAATCCCTATTGCCTCATACCTTGCCAGATACATGATATGTTTACTGAACTGAATTCATGATGTATAATATTTATCTCAATGAAAAAAATTATTGATGATCATCCCAGAGCAGCCCTCTTTATTCATTCCTAGAAATAATCTTGTTGTTTAAAAAGATGACAGGTTTCTAAGCATTGCAAATCGGCCCTGCTTAAAGATTCTTACAGGAGTTATTGGTTGTATCTCTAGAGACGGAGGCTCTGAATGAACAAAGCTGGTTTTGCTGTGCACATCCATAAACTGCAGGCAGCATACAGAATTAGACAGAAGTAACAGAAAAAAAGGAGCTGGAGACTACACTTAATTACGGGCGTGCATAGTTCCTGGACTTGGCAGGCCCCCAGGAGAGTTGCCTTCTGATTACGTGAAGTCTGTGGAAGCTGTTCAAGATTAATGTATCAGATTTTCATATTTGTCTCAATCAATCCATTAACAGTCTAGTCACTATAAATAGGTGGAATGTACACAGAAATAGATCCAGGCACTTCTGAGCGGCCGCGATTCCACTGATGTTGCTCTCTCAGCCAGTTTCATTGTGGTAAAGGGCGTTAGGTTTGGGTAGAAGTCTAGCAAATAAGAAGACTTCTCTCCTTGTAATACGATGTTCATCCGACTTTACTTTCTCTGAGTCTTTTTAAAGAGAACAAAACGAAGGCATAAGGTTTCATTTTTTTCATATTCTCAGAATTTTGTCTCCTACCCTTTTGAAAGTGGTGTCAGATTCTAGAGGAACATCTTTGCTGTGGGGGAATTTTCATTAAAGTGTCACTTGGATCTAGCCTTGTCACTGTTAATGGCATGGATCTGCTGTCAGACAAGAATAAATTCCTTCTCAGGTAACCTACTGGGACTATTCAAAGCATGTTCTAAAATAGCCTGAAAAGGAACAAATAATACAGAGTAATTTGAATTGCTGCATGAGAAGCAAGGAAAATTAAGGCTTAATCAAAAAATTATCAAACTAATTAGGTGTTATTTATTAATGTATCATGTCTTATAATAATCTTATCTGTCAGTTGATATGCAAGGGCAAGAATTAAAAAAGCATTCTAGTAATTATGTGAATATATTCCCCTATTGCTATTTTATGGTTCTTTTGGGTGGTCCAGTGAATAAAGAGTAGAGAATCTAGGACTTTCTAACCATTCAAATAAATGCATAGTTCTTATGCCTTTTCTTAAGCAGGCTTTATTTTAAACATGGTAGTAAGTATGCCCCATACCTACTTTGATATAACTATCTGTAAACTAAGTAGTTTGATGTAACTACCTTCAGAGACACCTAGTTGGTAAATGAATATGCCTCATCCATAGCTGTTTTTCCTGTATGAGATGTTTGTGCAAGACGAAGACAATAATGAATTTTGCAATCTTGACATTAATGTTACCAATTGTGGACTGCTCCACCAGTGGCTCAGCACTTTTCGACAGGTCTGTGACTGCTATTCCAGCTCAATATAGTTTACATTTTGTTTTTCTAGAATATTCTATGTTGAGGCAATATTACTGTTATTCCCACGTCACAGTAATAACCACATTCGAAGACAATGTTTTATGGTTATTTATATCCTCAGCATCCAAGCTGATATGCTCGAAGTCATTCTATTAATCCTTCTGCCAGCAGTTACTGACCCCTAGTGTGTGTTCAGTGCTAGTGGTCACAACATGAGTTTCCATGCAGAAGAAGGTCACAATCTAGTCAGAGGTGATTACGTAGAAAACAGTAAATAGTGTGGAGCAGCTGGGGGAGGAAAACGGGGAAAGGCACTGATTAAATACTTAATCATATTCTGCAGGTTATACTCACTCTAAATGTCTAGAGAGGAGAGGGTCACAGAGGCTAGAACAGTCTTCGTCAAGGTGGAGTCCTGGTATTTTTTCAATGTTTATCTTCAGCTTTATGATGATTGTCATTATTAATTGCTTGCAAAAAGTTTAGTGTTTATTCCTCTTTAGGTTGTCTGTTTTTCCACCCCAAGAGGAAAAAAAAAGTTAATGATGTAATTAGATGCACTTTTTTATTAACAATACCAAGTGGGAAATCAATACAGGGTAAAAACTGCACAAAGTAACCTCTCACCACGTAGATGTTCTCCACACCACCGCATGTCCTTGCAAATCAGATCCTGTTATACTTTAGTGTCTGTCTTATGTCATTCACATTTCATTATTTATATTATATCACGCAAATCCCCCCTACTCTATTTTATTCAATATTTCTGCTGTGTGATGATATGGTGCTTTCCTAAGGGAGAAACTGCCATCTACAAATCACTTTCTATTGTAACCATCCAGGGTAGTAGGTAATGAGCATGTGTTTTGTATACAAGACTTGTTTGTAACAATTGGCATCTCTTATAGAAAGTGAGGGAAAACAGACATAGAAAAAGGACCAATATTGTCATATTGGAATATCCCGTGAAAAATAAATTGATGATTTCATGTTCTCTTGTTTGACAGTTGCATAAGATGTAAACCTTTTCCATTTTCTCTTATTCATGACTATGATTACATTAATAATGATTTTCTCTAAGAGGAATATTATTTTTTTATATAATTTTAAATAGCCTCCTGGCAGACACTGGATAAACAGTGCGTATTGTTTTAAATGACAAAATAGTATCAATTATACGCAATTTAAAACAGGAAGAGAAGTTGGATGACTTCCAAGTGTGTCATTCAGGTGAGAATATATTTGTAAATTTAATTGTGATGTTAAGCCTATTAAAAAGTAGTTATTAATATGTTCCCATTTTATCCTTTGTCTATTAAGTGCAAGCATTGAAATATTAAATTTATGTTATACCCCGGTAGTTGAAAAAATGTGGAGTTTGATCATCTTTATTAATGCGTCCAATAGGAAATTCTCCCCTACAACAAAACATCAAGTCTTTTCTCTCCTCCTGAGATAAGTTCCCAAATTAAAAGGCACCTTTTAAATTGGCTTTAGAGTTCTTCCTTAGGCTTTTCATGTCTCTTTGAATTGCTTGTGAACGTGGAATATTTGCATGTGTCAGAGACAATTAGGGAAAAAAAAAGGAAAGAAATTTTCGCACAGGTGGAGACAAAGGGTAGGACAGTTGCAACATCCCCCCTTTGCCAAATCCTGTGTGGTGTGGAAATAGCTGAACGGGCGATTAAAAAGTCCCGAATCAATTCTAAGTCATATGAATGAGATTTCTGTGTAGAGGAGAAGCAACACTGTTTTTCAAGTGCCACCCCATAGCTTAAAAATGCATCTCTTTGCATTTGAGGATAGGGAGGAAGGAAACTCCCGAAGAACCTTGATTAACATGGCTTACCTAGAGCTGGAGATAAACTCAGCTAGCCATCCACACACTGTTCTGCATCTACCCTTTAAGCATTTTTGAGGACTATCAGAGAGATGGTGATAGCATTGATGATGATGATGAAAAGGTTTATCAGCACTGATAGTATGAGCACTAATAGTATGCCAGGCACTGTGCTAAGCTCTGTATGTGGATCATCTCATTGAATTCCCACCAAACTCTGCGAGGTGGGTTGTAACCTCTCCACCTCGTAGATGAAGAAATTGAACCTAGGGGAAGTTGTGTAATTTGCTCACATGGCTGGATATTGCTTCCAGCACTGTAGGAAGAATTACAAATATGTTTTAAAAGGGGGGTAACTGCCTCTTAGGTTTTCTTTTTTCCTTCTTTTTCTTCACTTTGCCTTCTAAGTGGTATAATTTCTGTTTCCCTTGTAATGTAAATTTGACATGTACGCCTAAATCTTGCCAATACAACTACCAAAGAAAGCAGGCAATCGGCTGATAACTTTTAGCTGTCTTTGTTGGGTGGTCAGTGGAAGGAATCTGGAATCTGGCATAGAAACTACAAGCAGAGTGGACGGTGATTCCATACTCAAGAGCACAAATGGCTTGTCACCAAAATTATTGAAGGAATCTTGAATATGGTTTACTTTTAAATTTCCTAGGTGTCTGTTAAGCTGGCCATAAGACCTGATAAAATGTCACCCAGTTCTATCATTAGGTGTTTAAGTATGTTTTATTCTTAATGCTTAGAGTGACAGCAAATTGAGATGAACGAGAGCATAGAGTAAATTTATCTCTAAGGTTGTAGCTGGGTCATGAAGTTAATGAGAACGAAAACAACAGATTCTAGCAGTTTGGGAATTGATTTAGCAATCGACTGTGCCAGCTGCTCTCTGTCAATAGCCTCTTTGGTAGAATCCTAAAGGCAAACAACCGGAAAAGATATGAGACAGAAGGAGGCATTATTTATTCTCCATGTTTAGATAGTTTACAAAAATGTCAAGCCTCCCACCTCTCAAGAAGTGAATATGTTATTCTACTTGTAAATTCTTTTAATACATTTTGTAAATGTGATGATTTGTGTCTTGGGAACCGTACTTTCTCTTATTCACTCGCTTTTCTGTTGCTGCTTACATTGCCAATGATCAGTAATTTGGTATGACTTGATTTTCAGTCTGTGAGTAAATCACTGAAGAGTGTTGGATCTCTGAAAATTAATATTGACTATAAAACCTACTCCTACCACTCAACACCTTAGATAGTAGGCATCCCCATTTTGTTAAAGAATTTTAGATATTTTTGACTATGGAAAACAGTATTTCAAAGACCTAATTTGAATTCCTTGTAACTTTGAATATTGAATTAACATAACTGATGGTTGAAAACACATTATTTGTATTTTAAATCATCTTCAAGTGAAACAAGGGTTAAAATGTCTATTAATAATATCATTTCAGTATAATATAGAGTACTGTATTGAAGATCTGTTTTCTTTTAATTATCATAAAATATCATTGACTATAGAATTCTAGAGCATACTATAACAACATAATGTTTGTAACTAATTGAAATTGTTTAGCACCATTCCAGATTTCATCATATGCTTTGTTCATTCCTTGTCCCTTTATGTCATTTCTAAAATCAATGCACACATGAGGACAACACGCGGCTGTGCAAAGAGCCCTGCAGACATGGGTCCTACTTATAAGTCACTTGGGTGAATTTAGCAAGTTGTTCAGCTTCTTTGGGATTCAGTGTCCTCAGTGGACTCTAAAGTGTCTTCTGGCAGTAAATTACTATTCAAGTTACATCAGTAAGCGCAGAATTCTTTAGGCTGAACCACACTCCACTGGATAATTTACAGAATCTTTCCACCGGAGGGAACCTGTGGATACTCAGAATATATTGCAAGTGTGAGATCTTGATTGAGCTGTTTAGCTAATGAAGCTACCTTTCTTTATCTTTCAGCTTTAGTTCAGTTTTTCCCACTAACCATGGATAAATGCATTAATGTTCCAATGTCATGGAAAGCGTGTTGTTCCACTCAAAAACAAATTGTAAAGATTCTCATCAAAAGAAAATGAATTCTTTGGTCTGGAACTATAAAAGAATGAAAGAAAGGGAGACAAAAAAAAAATCAAATTTCATTATGTATTTTGTGGGGAGTATTTTGTACTCCACCAAGAACTAAAAATACTATAATTCAGTCTGTTCATGTTCAAACACTCTAGAAACAGCATAAGAAGTTAACATTTGGCAACACTCGTTTATTCACTCATTCATATAATCATTCATTATCCCCTTTAATTATTCATTTTCCTCTATTAAATATGTATTGATGTTCCAGATTTTGTCCTCAGTTGCTCATAGTCTTGTAAGGATTAAAACAACAGCAACAAAAAAGCCCAGACTTGTAAATAAAGAAATGCATTAAGAACCAGAGGACAAAGTGTACATTGGGTACTCTGGGAGCATAAGGAGATGTGACGGGAGTGGGTAGAAGGGAATCAAGGAAGAGATAAAATGGCTAAGCTTTGAGGAATTACCAAAATAGGCTATGTTCTAGGGAGTTTTATCACTGAGAATTTGAAATGTCACAGATATTTAACACTTCATTGGATGACTCCATGGCAAGTAGAATACTTCCATTCTAAGTAGATGGGAGAATTTTTTTTTTTTTAAATTGAGACCATAGTCCATCTAATTTGCCACATTAGTCTCTTTTCCTACCAGCTTTGGCCTTGGTACTAAAAGAGAAACATACAATTCATATTACCTATTTGTCTGTTTCTTCCATCTTTACTGTCTGCCTTTTGCCTCACCTTATGTGTAAATATGATTTGCTGCGGGGTTGAAAGATATATTGATCACATAACTAGAAGAAACTATTTAAGAAAAGTAAAGAAATAGTAATTCTGAAAGTTTTGAAAACCTCCCTGGTGCCAGTCTTTCTAGAATCGTGGAAATGAGATCATCTGACAAAAGATTGGTCTTTGAAGCGCTACTTGAGGTCAGTTCAGGATCTAATTAAGGTTAAACAGAACATGGCCACTGAGGAAAACTATGAAAGTTTTTATCTAAAGAAGTGAATATTTACAGACCATCCAAGTGTTATGAGTCACTTAGAACAATAGGTAGAATAATTGACATTTATCTTATTCTTTCAAATAGATATTAAGTAAATGGAAAAATAAAATGAAGCGAAAATCCTTTATCTTAAATTAAGTCTGCTCTCCATACGTGACCTTGGTTAAGTCTCTTCTCCTTCCAAAGACCTTTTTGTTTTTCCATCTGAAAAACTAGGGTGTCGGAATAGCTGATTTCAAAGGTCCCTTCCATATCCCCAAATCCTGTGATTATTATTCTATGCATCAATTTTTGTTTAAGTCCTAAACGTCAAGTATTCTGTCACAATCAAGGTACAAGGATAAATGAAACAATGATATGATCTTGAATCAATCTTATTTCCTTTCTTTAGTTGGCTGTTCCATGGAAAATTATTTCTACTTCATAAATTGGGCATGAAAAGGAAAAAACACTAATATTACCTTTATCATTTTTAATCAAAAGAAGGCATGAAATATGTATTTGGCTACTATTCCTTGCTTTCCATCAAAGTGAATATGCAAATGTATAATAACACATGGAAATATTAGGGAAGCTTTTTATCAGGATGCAAAGAAACCTTTCCAGTAGAAACATTTTGGCCTGGAGGATGCTGTTTGATCTAGGAAGTTGAAGCTTTGGGTGTTTTAAATACCTTATAGTAGAGTCACATAACCAATTTATACTAAATAATCCATTGCTTAAAACTTTTCTAAAAGTCACGAAAAAAATCTTGAGAGTTAATTACCAATAAGATACATTATTGGAATAAGCCAATAAAGTAACTATGTTTTCTTCTTTAGTGTTCTCTAAATAAGACTTTTGGCAAAATTGAAAACTATTGCAATTGAAGTGACAACACCGATTAAGCAATTATTGCATATTCCGTATCTAGCTGGGAAAATTTACCCTTATTTGAGTATTATACTTCTCATTTGTTCCCAGATGCTCAAGTCAAATTGTCAATCATTCTTGATTTCTTTTTCTCACTTCCCAGATCAAATTCATTAAAAAATCCTATTAGGTTGATGCCAAAATGTACTCTGAATCCATACACTTATCTACAACTTAAATGTTTTTCATTGACCGTATATTCAAAATCAACACCTATTACTCTAAATAGTATTTCTTATTACCCTTCCTTGATACATTTTTTAATAGGAGATTTATTTCCATTTTACTTATTTAGTTGTTATTTTTTTTTGTCTCTGCCCACTAGAATCTCAGCTCCATGAAATAGGTGATATTTGTCTGTTTTGTTCCCTGCTGTAACTCCATATCCTAGCAAGGTGCCTGGTGTGCAGTAGGTACTTAATAAATGTTTGTTGCCTGAATGACCAAATCTTCACTGCACTCTACCTAGTCCAAGCCTGCATCACATCTACCCTGGGTTATCTCAATGGCCTCCAACTGTTCTCCTGCTGCCTCTCACATCCTTTCCTCCACAAACCATGCTTTTGTTCACATAGCAGCAAGTGACCTTTTAAAAACCTACACGTCATACTGAAACCCTTCAAAGCTTACCATTGCCCTAGGGACAAATCCAAACTCACGGGAACAGCCTAGAAGGCTCTGAGAGCTTGTCTCTGCTCTCCAGCCCCACTGACCTTCAAGCAAGCCAGGCTGGTTCCTAGCGTAGGCTTTTTGACTTGTTTTTCCCTGTCAGGAATTCTTTTTTCAGAGGTCTTCCTGAGGGTTGCTCCTTTGAATTTAAGTCAGAACTCAACTGTCTCCCTTTCGGAGAGAGGACGCTTCATACATTATTCTCTCGTCTTGCAGTTTGTGTGCTTATACAATGGCCCTCCACTCTGCAACCCTTCCCAAGATTGCATGCCTTGGATGGGGGCCGCAACGGCCGAGGAGAAAACCTCCCTCTTAATTTTGCACTAAGCGGGTCCTCCTGGCCAAATCTTGCCATCATGGACTCCATGCACACAGAGAAGACACATTTTTCTAATTTGCACAAAGCTCCCTATAGGTTAGTGGAGTCCTCCTTAGCGGTGGCCCTGCTCTTCCTTCACTACCCAGTTTAGTATGATCTCTTTCCCCTAGTCATTCTCTGCCTCACCACTCTGTTTTGCTGTCCCTACATTTCTGAGATCTGAAATTATCTGTCCTGCTTGCTTATTGCTGGTCTCCTCCATCTCTCATGTAAACTACATAACAACAGGGTCCTTCTTTATTTTCATCCTGGTCCCTGGGTGATTTCATTTGTACAGTTATCTCCATGAACATTTGCAACAACCCAGCTGGAGCAGATATTATTGTTCTCATTCTACCTTGAAACAACTGACACCTCATTTAAGTAATAATTACTTGTTCGCTACTGTCTATCTCCTCCATAAGACTGAATACAAGGCGTGCAAAGTACCTGGGTAGAATTTAGCAGTACATAAGTGGGAAGAACAAAGATGCCTATGATTGGAGTAAAAACCTGCTCGATCCACCCATCTCATACACGCTCCTGAACTTCTTCAGGTGATTCTTTATTGGCGAGGTCCCTGTTTCACAGTCAAATTTGCAAATTTGGGTTATTGTATGATAGGTCTCTCAAATGTTTGTTTGTTTTTAATAGATGAGGTGGGAAAGGGAGGAGTGGTTGACACCCCAAATCCCTCTGGTCCCTTCCTCCATTTGTAAGTGGTCCAAATGTATAAGGCAAGAGGAAGAGGCACTCAGTAAGGAAACTTGAAAGTCGAGGTGTCCTTATTTTATTTTAATAAAGGACAATAGCACAATCATGTCTCAGCCTAAAATATCAAATCATGTTTTCATTTAGTTTAGCATTTGTTCAATTCTAAACTTTAAAAATATTATTTTACGTGTTACAAAAATAGTCTAGGAAACTTGTACCAATGTATAAAAGTAATATTATTGTTTTAACAAACTTGCCTATCATTTCTTTTCTAAATGCTGATCTTCCCACTTTACGTTTAGTCGTAAATTTACAAATGCCTTTTAGAAACTGAAAGAAGGAACTGGGATAGAAATTTGTAATGATTTCACACTTTGTCTTTTTTAAAAATGTAAATGAATTTTAACTCAGTGATCACTTACTAGAGTGACACCTTCTCCGTCCCAGCATCTATTGCTATTCATGTTTACAGCGCAGGAGGCCTTTCAAAAAGTTTATGGTCTTCTGGGTGTGCTCAGTACCTCCAGGAAGATGCCAGGCAGGCCTAAGGAATAAGATATCTATCAGGCATTAGAGAAAAAAATATCCTCAACATATGTTTCAAGATTTAGAGGGTAGATTCAGTTGTCTAGGAATTGTTTTCAACCAGGGAATCTCTTTTGATAAAGAAACTACATAAATTAAGCCTTAGTGTAGTGAATTGTTTTTTACTTCATGTAATCTGACTTCAGCTCATTGCCTCCTCCTTGACTTGAGACTCTTAGTAATTCCATTCATCATTTCTAGCAAGGAAAACATCAGTAACTTAATCATTAGCAGGAACACATACTGTATACTCTCCGCAGTGGAATCTGACCAAACCAAAAACAATCAAACTGACTTGCATGAGAAAAAACTCATAACAATAAAATATTGGCATCTTACAAACATGCCATTCAGGTATTATGGAAATAAGCCAGCCAAAATCACTCAAGGAACAAAGATAAAGCCATTTCCCTATATTTGAATGTCAGGGAGATTTTCAGGTAATAGCTTGTAAAATGAAGGACACCTTTAGAGTTCCAATGTAAATTTCACCAACCTAATCTTTCCTTCGGAGAGTAACAATTCTCAGGAATTCCAGAGGAATGTTTCCTAATCATAAGCTTCTTTCCGGTAAATGAGTCCTGCTGTTTCTGTCATGTTTAATTTTATCTGTTGTTATGTCTTTGTTTTCTTACTTCAAAAATCTGTTTCAAGTCCTCTTGTGTAATTAGATGGGATATAAATTGTAAATGCATTATTGGCAAAAGAATTAATATTTTGAGTATTTACTATGTGTTGAATTCTTCATCACTTAATTCTCATAACAGCCCTAAAATCCATCCTCATTTTATGCAGGCCTTAACTGTGGCTTGGAGACTTGGTGGGATTTTCAAGATCACACAGATTATAAGGGATGGAGCTGAAACTCTCACTTATATCCATTTGACTCCCAAGCATGAAGACTGTATACTAAACAACATTGCTTTCATTACAAATTCTATTATTAATATAATATTAATAATTAATAATATTAATATATGATACATAAGGTATATAATATATCCATTCATATAGCAAAATGCTCTCTAATTTCAATAGGATTCTCTGACATTATTTGAACATAAAAGAAGACCTGTCCATAAGTCAGTACTAAAGTCATGAGTGATGCTGAAGTATGCTGCACCGAATTTGTTTTGGTGCCCCTAGCACAACAAAAACTTGTCCTGAGCTAATAATCACCTGCAAGGGCTAGCTCTCACTGTCACTGTAAAGGCAGGCAGCCATCTGGCCTTTTCTTTCTCTTTTTCTTGTGGTCTTACTTCCCCACTGCATCCACCACCTCAAAATGACGCACTCAGCGATTTTAGAGAACGTAATATAGTTCATTACAGCGGTAGATAATTTCTGATATAAATTGGATATTGTACTTTTGGCGCAGAAGCACTAGTTTGTGTGTTTTAATAGTTCTACATATTTTGGCATCAAGGGCTTTCTTTCACCAGATACTCTCTGCCCGGAATCCCTTCCTCCCCACTCCTGCCTAGGCCTTTAAATGCAGATTACAATTGATCTCCTCGTGGAGTCTTTTTCCAACATTCCCTCTGTGTATATTATTTCCCATCATCACACTGTATTATAATGATCTGTCTATAAGTAGGTTTTAGCCAGTATATTGGGAACTTCTTGAAGGTAGGGCTGGTGTTTAATTATTCTTCAGTGCTTGTACATAATAAGTGCTCATTAGATTTTTTAAAAATAAAATAATGACTTTATAGTTCCTCTAGGTAAATCTAAGAATACTTTATTGTGTAAATTATGTATAATTCCCCATGGGAAGAATTTTATATATTTTAAAATAAATTCCTAAAGACCTTATCAAAACCATAAAAGATGATTATATACTTACTACTGTTCGCAGGAGTATATGACAGGGAAGAAAGCAGCTTAGACTGGACAGGCACCATCCTATGAAGATATTTTTGAAAGCCTTAGTATTTAGAAACAATTTATTTATATTCATGACTACTTGTGTTTTAAGCTTTAGTCATTTTGTTGACTCCTTCCTAAATCTAGATTATCCCTAGATTTTAAAAACTATAAAATACCATCTTACCTTAGAAATATGTTTTCAAGAACAGCTCCCAAGAAAGACTTGGGGAGGGATCTTTCCAGGTATATATCTCTTTGATTGACGAAGGAAACTCAGAGTGAAAGCTTCGCTCCTCTGTCCCTTCCCAGCTGCAGTCCTGGACCCACCTATATAAGATGATGCTTTGCTGGCCTTAGGCAGTCTGAGATCTGGAGCCCACATGGAAATCCAGCTCCAATTCTTAGGAGCTGAAAGGTCTGAACCCCTGCTCACCTCACTTTTCAAACCGTAAAATGAAAATTATGCCTACACCCTAAGGATCTTAGGAAGATTGAATGACAATACATCAAAACTGTTTGGGAATGTTTCAGGCATGTAGTAAGCACTATAATAAATGTTAGCTGGGGAAAAATAATGTGGATCACACTTATTTTTAGTGTGCCCCAACTTACCTTTCTTTGCTCACTGAAAAAGGAACTTTCATGTTGCATGATGTTTCCATCAAATCTTTGCTGCCATGAGGAAAAAGTTTATAATAATATGGATTGATATTTTTCTAAGTATACGACCTGCATGTTATGAAATGATATGCTTTGTTTTTATGCATCCTTGAACATGCTCAAGAATCAACCTGGATGGGTGTAACAACTAGAAGAAAATCCTGCACTGAGTGGAAGCTAACCTCTGCTTGGGCTGAGGGCCTGGGCCTGGCATTGTCCTCTTCTCACTGCTGCAGAACGCAATGTGTGCAACTCCCATCGCTCCGCTTGCTAATCCACAATTTGCCAGAGCGAACTAATTTTGACGAATTCTAAAAAAGGAAAACTTCCAGTAAGCAGGCAGGTCTGCTGACATTTGATAATATCTAGTTGTCAGTGAGATTTTAGAAGGTGCGTATGCCCACGTTGATTCCTGGATTAAAAAGAAGCACATGGCAGGAGTTTATGGAATGCAAATGAACGATAAAACATTTTGCAAGCATTTCATATGGGATCATATGTTAGTTAATGTTTACAGTTCATGGCCCGGATGATTTTGGTTAATTAAAGAAATCGCATATGATAAGGAAGCACTTGGAAACAATTGCGGGCTTTTATACAGATCGTAATAAGCCTAGAGACTTGAGGGAGCCTTTCAAGGTTCTATAAAACTGAATATATTTTCCCTTTGGCTCATTATTTACTTAACTGCAGGTCATTTATTTTGGCAGGAGAAAATGTACCTGTTTAATATCAAAAGGCCTATGAATTTTAACCTTCTTTTATTGCACTATTGTATCATTTGAGAATTGCTAGTTAAATGAAAAAAATGGTGATTTTTCTATATATCTTAGGATTCCTCTCAGCTCCTGTGATTTTGGTTTCCATAATTTAAGTGCACATTGAAAATGAATTGCTTTATTTGATTGCATGTAGATTTTCCATTAATGAAGTTCAGTAGATATATTTAACATTGTATATATATCTATGAAAAGTAATATGTTCAGAAATGGCTGGGAAGATAACTGAGTGTATGTATCCACTTAAAGATCTCGCCTAATAACAATTTCCTATTGCATAATAATATGAATTTGTACTTCAGATTATGAATTATGCATGTTGGGGACACATCTAGCTATCTTAGTTGTGTATATTAAATTTGCTGATACTTTTTATTCAATACTTACTCCTGCATTGTGTGTACAGGACAAAGCCCAGCCATACCACCTCCATTGCCAACACAACAAGCTTCCAGACCTACTCCGGCATCACCTACTCTTGAAGGCAAGTATTTTATTTTATTTTTTCCAAAGATCTTCTCTATTATAGATAAAATAGAATGTAGAGAAACAAAACAAAATAATAACAGCAACAACAACAAAATCCATATTTTTTCAAATAGTGTCAGTGTGTCTAAACTCACTTTACTTCTCCTGAAATTATAGTTGGCCCCTTTTTAGAAAACCAAGAATTTCCTCTTAAGATTCTATTTTGGTGACCATGAGCTTCCTGAAGGATGACCAGCTTCATCCCCCGGAAATCAAGCCAGAAAGTGTAGAGACAAATGGACAAAGATATGCCTTAGAATTCTTGCAGTTTTACCACAACTTGATCAATTTAGTGTCTTAAGAGTCTGGTCCCAGAGTTTCTGGGTTTGAGTCTCAGTTCTACCTCTTACTAGCTGTGTAAATTTGGGAAGTTACTTAAATTCACTGCCCATGAGTTTTTTCATCTCTCAGATGGGACAAGAACAGTACTGATCTCACAGAGTATCGTGAGGATGAAATGGTATGTGTATATATATATACATCTGTGTGTGTGTGTATGTATATATGGCAACTTATAAGCGGTGTAAATAAAAATAATACTACTACCAACAAATTCTTCAAAATATGATGTTTCAAGATCAGCAAAATTAGAGGAAGGGTTACCATAATCAATTTTGCTAGAAGTTTAAAGTCATTTCTTTAAGTCTTCACTCATTCATTCCTTCAACTGCTGCTGATTAAATCTCAACCGTGGGATCAGGCCAGATACGTCCAAAGTACCAGGGATTCAGAGATTAATAGAAAATAGTTCCTGCCCTACCAAGACTCAGTATACAGACATAAAATTAAAAGTCATTAAAGAGGAGCCTGCTATAAAACACAAGTCATTAAAACCAAGAACATCTCTAACGTTTTGCAAAGGTGAAAATGTAGGTGTCCCCCAGATCATCACAGGAACGTTTCCACCCCCCAGCTCTGACCCTCTCTAACAGAGACCTTCTGTGTACACATGTGGACACCAGCCTGCTTGTCCAAGTTCTATCCACTCTGTCCAACAGACATCTGTTGGCTTTGGCCACCCCTTCAGACTAGGGGTGACCACACTTATGAGGATTTATTCAGGAAGAGGCCCATGTGGCCACTGTCTTCAGAGTAAGGGCTGATTGGGAAAATGTATTCCAGGTCCCAGGATCTGGAGTGTCCAAGAGAAAAGATTCCAGGTGATGACACCCTGTTGGCCCCACAGACTCCTAGACCCAGGACAGGGTGTAGCCACAGGAGGTCCCGGAAGAGCCCTGTAAAGCAGAGCCTCCAAGAGGGGCCCTGGTTGCTGGGTTCCAAGAGGTGTGCTGATTACCACGATGCGATAAGAACTGCAAATAAGTCAGTACAGAGTAGTGTGAAAGCCTAGGTAAGGGACAGCATAGCTCTGTTTGGAATAGATGAGGAGAACCCGGGAAAGGCCTCTCTGCAGAGGTGACTGAGAAGCTTAAGTCCCAAGAATAGGTGTTCAACAAGCAGGTAAGGAAGGCAAGGGCATTACTGATAAAAGGATTGGCATATGCAAAGTCATGGAGATGGAAAGAAAGGAGTTTAGACCAGAGAAGTAGTTTAGCATGGAGAAAAGAAAGAAGGGGTGGAGAGAGCTTGGGATAGCTGATAGAAAGGCATACAGAGTGCAGAGCATGAAGGACCTTGTAGACTAAGCTTGGGATTTATTTTTGTCTTTAAAGTTTAACTATAAAACATTGAATAGTGAAATAAACCCATAATATACTCAGCCTGCAGATACATTTATTAATATTTTCTGTTCTTACTCATCTAACCCTTATCTTCTTTTCTTCCTTCCTTCCTTTTTTTTTCTGATTGTATTTTTGTTTGTTTTACAAATCTTTGACGTCATGCTATTTCACCCAGCTCAGGAATTTTTTTCTTTTAAAATTTTGATGAATTTACATGGTTCAAAATTTAAAAGTTACAAAAATGATGTAGGGAAAAAAGTCTCCCTCCTGGGCCTCTCTCCCAACCACCCAATTCTCCTCCTTCCAGGCTACCAATGTTAGTTACTGCGTAAACTTTCAGAGATATTTTGCACATATGCAAGCACAGATATTTCTGTCTCTGCTATGCAATATTTATTTTTTTTCTACAGAAGATGGAGAATTTCTGATTGATGGAATAGACATGTTCATTTATAAAGATTAACTTGACTGTCATCCTGCTAAGCTAGACTGGCAGTATGAAATTGTTTGCAGGCACTTGGGAAAGGAATAGTCCAAAGAAGTTGCAAAGCCTGAACTAAACAGTGGTATAGTGGATGGAGAAAAGCAGATGGATCAGAAAGATATTTGGAAAGAGAATCAATTGGTCTAAGTATGTGATTGGGTATAGGTGCAGAGGTTGCACAAGGAATTAGAATGACTCCAGGCTTTCTGAATTAGGTATCCAGGTGGACAGGGATGCCATGAACTAAGATGGGAAACCATTGAAATAGGACAAGTTTGGTGAGGAGGAGCAGGAAGGTAATGGGCTCAGACTGGGACCTGAGAGTTTCCCATGGGACATCCAGGTAGAATTACTAAGCGGACCACTCTAAATTGGCACATGGAACTCAAGGAAGTATTATACAGCTCTTATCAGGAATGATGCATTCATATAACCTGTTCCCTCCTCTACACCTTAGCTTCTCTCTCCCAAGCTCCATTCCCAGATGAATCTCCAACAATGAGGAAGAAATGTCTGAGGATTTCTGTTCACTTGTTGTATCCTCCAAACCTCTCCTATGAAGGTGACCCAGGCCCTCTTGATCATTTCTTATTACAGAGTTGGTGGGTACCCTGTGCCTTGGAATGTAGGATAGTGATTAGCAGCCTGTGCTCTAGAATCACACAGATCTGGGTCCAAATTCTGGTTCTGCCATTTTCTATCTGGGTGACATTAAATATGATACCTAAACTTTCAGGTTCTTTATTAGTAAAATATTGATACTCATATTACCTACCACAGAGAAGTGTCCTAAAGATAGAATAAAACTGTAATAATTGCAGTTTTTGTTGTTGTATTTGATATTGGTGAACTTAGGAAGTTTGCCTTTGACTACATTTTGTTGGCTTAACAAAATTTTTCGGAAGAATTGGTTATAGATCATCAGCATCAAAGTCAACTGCAAAGCTTTTAAAAAATGCATATTCCTGCCACATCTTAGACCTAGTGAATCAGATTCTCTGACAATTCAGACAAGAAAAATCTATGTTTTTAACAAGCGCCTCAGTTGACTCTTGTGCTCATTAAATTTTGAGAATCATTGGTTTATATCTATGTGTAATAAATCTTACAAATCCTGCCAACTGTTTTACATTAAACATCTGAAATTGGTAGCCTACTTCAAATAGTCTTTCACTTACTTTTTGTATTTTAATTAAATCTGATTGTCTTGAGAGAGATGCATTGTCCAATTGACCATAGACCGCAACAATCCTTTTGGCCATACATTTATGTTTCACATAGTCAATAGCTGAAGAAGGACTTGACTAGCTGGGCATGTGAAGTTTTCCTAAGGTTGTGTTCTGACACCAGCATATATGTGTTTGTATGTGGGTACGACAGCTTATAAGTTCTTTATAAAACTAGTATGCACTTGTTTGTACAGATCCTGACCAAGTCATGCCTGTGGCTATGCTCTCTTCAACTCACATTTATTTAGAATATTACGTTTGTTTTACCTATATGCATTTTACATTTGATATCCCAAAACTCTGTAAAGTAAACATTACTATCGTCGATGAATAAATACAGACTTCGAGTTTATGTATTTCTGTGAAATTAGTAAATAGCAGGACTGGGATTCTAGCCCTGGATTTCTAATTCTGTGCTCAGGGTTCTTTCTACTAAAATACTTTGCTGACACTGGAGTTTGAGGACCCTCTGCTCAGTTTTCTGAGATGTCAGCAAGTTTTGGAAAATGAAGACGTGAGGTTTTGTCATTTAGATCTCACGCAGTTCTGTGATGGAAACATCATGTGATGTCAGTCAGGAGTACCCTTGTGATGCTTCTCAAAATTTAATATGCACACAAATCACCTGGGGATCTTGTGAAAATGCAGATTATGATAAAGTAGGTTTGAGGAAGGGCCTGAGGTTCTGCATTTTTACCAAGCTCTCAAGTATTGCTGATGTCGCTGCTCCAGGATCACATTTGAGCAGCAAATCCCCAGATGATTCAGAAGGCAGGTGAAGAGCAATTGGATGTTGCTAAAAATGCTTTTAATTTCATATTAGTCACCTGAATGACTTGTAAATGGCCAAAGGTCCTTCAGAATGACTGGAATGCCACTCATGGAGAAACTTTGACTGCTAATTGTTTGGGAAAAAGCAAAAAGTTTCAAGCCAAGTACCTAAGCATTCTAGAAAGGCTCACAAAACAGCAAGGGAAATGCCATTGGGAATGGGGGGAAAGGTTACATTATACTTGTAAATTGTAACAACCTATTATATAGTATGCAAAATATTTTGATTTGGCCAGCTACACAAATTGAATGAATTAGCAGTTGCAAATTTTAAATAAAAATACCACACAATTTGTAAGTCAGTACCGTATTAATTCCAATCTAAAGAAACTAATTTGTTTGGTCTTTAGATGACAACGTAAAGTTCGCATAAAGTCTCTCTCCAAGACTCCAAACCAACAATTCTTCTTGACTATTTAGAGAACAGTTCATAATCTAGTCCAGGATTTGAAGCTTTCGTCTCCCACCCAATTCAGCTACAAACATTATATTTGGCCTGCACAGGTTTTTTATTTATTGATTTTTGAATGTGGTCGTCTTGGATTTGGGGAGCTTCTTACTATTTCCATCAACTTCCACATCTCTGCTTCACCCATTCACTTACTTGGCACCAGACATCGTTTATGTGTGTGACAATTATGTGA